ATACTTGGATATTTTCAGCTTCAATATAGTTTCTAGCAGCAAAGTGAATTCAGTTGGTACTTTGTTGAAGAGTTAAAAATTAAAAGTAAGAAAATGTCTTGTACTTTTTTCAATAATTGAGAAGAACAAAAACAAAATTAGGAAAAAAACGGTCAYTTTTACGCAAAACTAGTTTTTGTAAAAATTAATTTCCTTATTTTGTTTGCAATTCTAATTCAAACAAATAACCGTAAATACTTTACATTTTCAATGTTAATTTCTATATGTTTAATAATTTTCAAAATATGTTGTCAATAAAAATTATTTACTCGTAAAAAAATTTTAATATACATATATATAGGTACAAGGTTCCTCATAAGTTTTTATTACAGATACATACTTGGCATAATTTTTTTCATGGACTTTTGAAATTCAAATTCAGTCGAAATTAGATATTTAAACAAAAAATAACAATTTTAATTATTTTGTTGTAAAATATTATTTATGGGGATTTGAAACTTTTCGTGTATCATTATATTTTTATATAAACAAAAATATTTTCAAAACTTTGAAATTAATTTTAAACCAACGCTTATTTATGCCATGAACCGTGGTATATTTATACTTATTTCCCCTGTTCTACGGAAAAACAGAATAGGATCAAAATTTTATAGATGACTTACATTAATAAATATTAAATTATCCAAATACCAACATATTATTATAATAATCAAATATTAATAATAAAGGTAATAAATTAAATATATTGGGTCAAATCAAATTAACCTACCTTAATACCAATGGCAAAATAAATACTTTATTATAATACCTATAAAAAAAATAAAAAATACTTACCTATCTTGAAATATAAATTCTATAGAAATCACTAGCAATATAAAAATAATGTGATACATGATGATATATAAACTTAGTAATTAGTAATGTAATTATTCTGACGAGCGTCTTCGCCCAGGATAATTTTTGATTTTTTGGAAGTCATGGTTTATCATTGAACTCAATTTAAAGCACTTATTATTACTCATTGACTGCAGTTAGGTACATCACTTTGTCGCCTATTTTACAACTTAGCAGTTACTTATTTCTCCCCCATTTTTATTTTGTACATTAATTTACAATAACATTATCTTAATATTACATTTTTGTATCTGTACCGACTGTACCAAAGGCAATGAAACAGATGTGAGTAAGGTGGTCTGGTCCATCTTGAGGATATTGTGCCTATAGTATGTTTCTTGTAGTGAAAAATTGGAGAAATTTAAGTCAATATGTATTATTGTGAAGGGGTTAGACACATTGACTGCAGTAGGKTTGTTAATCATTACATGACATTATAATACAACGTAATAATGTACTGTTATCTCAGATCTTACAGTACTGCGCATTGGATATAGCTTGGCATTGGTCCAGTATCCATATACCTACCACGTGGCCATATTCATATATACTTTACAATCYTCCATACCTACGGAACAACTGTCTCGCAATTATTTCAACCGTTCGTCAAACGTTTGTGGGCAATTAATGCGCCAACAGACTACTACAGACTGTATAAATTATAATTATACCCTCCGGTGGCACGAGAAATCATCTAAATACTAATACAATATTATTGTAATAATAATATGTATGTATATATTATGAGCTTGTGCACTGTTCGGAATTCCAAAATGTAAGTAGGGCAAATTCATTGTCAGATTTAATTATAATATATTATATAGTTACATTATATATATCATATTTTCTGTTATTGGAATTTCAAGACCAGAAACCGTCTAAAATAATAATTATTGGTATAATATTTTGGTAAGGTTTTATTATTCGAGAGTAATATTTCTCTGATTAAACACAGCGCAACATATGCTTCAAAATTGTTTTGGTATGTGACGAAAATGATCGGCGCTTAGGTTTTACCGWGTTTATACTGTTTGTAGTCACCACCGTATCGTATACGACAGCATCTATATTCTATATCCTGCTGCTAGTACTCACCACATTGGATTCGGTCAAGACTCTCGACTCCGCTGTGACTATCTTTTTGAACGGTAGTGCTTTGATGTCCATCTCAGTTGTCCACAACACAATATTTGGCGTAGAATGGTTAGCAGATTTTTGTCAGTCGACTTTCAATGAAGTAGTTGGCACGTCAACCAAATGCACGTGGCTTAACGTAATTGAAGACATGATAATACTTTAGTAAATTATAGTATACCTACTCTAATGGTTTGTATTGCACATAAAATAATTCGTAATAATTTATTCGAGAAAAATGCAAAGGGATAGGTGAGTGCCTCATACCAACTTAATTTTGTCATATTTTCACGCATTTTATAATAAGATTTTAAATAATTAATAAATAGGGTTTTATATTATCCCCAGTTTTTTCATTAAAATTTCTCCCCTAGTTGTATATGTTTAAAAACAAAGAACACAAAGCAATAAATTTAACGTTATTATTTTATTAAAATTTTTAAAAAATAATGAAGGATACTTTAACTATAGATTTTGCATAATTTTTAATATTTTATGGTCTACATTTTAAATTCAAACTATGTAAAAATAGCATTACAATAAATTGAACCATATAATAATAATAAATAATAGGAATGAGAGTATTTAATTTTCATTTTTTGTCTAGTATAGGGGCACACAGTATCAAAATAATGTTAGTGCTGTATAAATATGTATCATATCAGTATTATAACACTAGGCGGAAAATTTTTTTTATATTTTAGMATATAATTTTTCATTACATACTGAATTTAAAAGTTAAATACATTAATTATATAAGCATACCTATTTGAGTAAAATATTATAAAAATTACGAACTTGCAATTTTTAAATAACAAATTTTTGTCGAATAAGTTTAGAAGTATAAAAACATATTTGGAAAATTGTTTGTAGAAAAAATATAATATCAGTTGGCTATTGAGAAATCTCGTCAATATTTTTTGTAATAAGTGTTATAATTCAAGTAGATATTAAAGTACATATAGATWAGTTTTTAAATTTTTTTCAATAAATTTTTTCAAAACATCAATTTGTAAGGATTTTTTAATTTCTATAAATATAAAAATTTACTTACATCTTTGAAATATTTTTATTTCAAATAAACTACATTGATTAAAAGTAACTGTTAAGAGTAAATATTAATACCTAAAAAAATGTTTTGGTTTAAGTGGCTAATTTATAGGTTTAGTAAACAAAAATTTTAAGTTTTTAAATAAATTGGTGGACTTCTCAACCCTAATAGGTAAATAATAAATAATTATGCTTAGTAGATATCTGCCTTTATTTTTTTTATATGTAATTAAAAACGAAAATCTAATATTTCAGTAGACACTATCAGTTATAGTCACGGATCTTGAATTGAAATTAACGTGGTGTCTTGTAGTATTAATATAATATAGTTGCGWATATTTTTATCTATGATCCGATGATCTGTAGTATACACTTTGAATTTGACAGTAGGTATAGATCCAATACTGTCAATGTGTACCTAACGATAAAAATGATAAAAAATAAAAGTAGGTAGTTGGATACATCAATTGGAYATAAATAAAAATATTTATAACTTTTTTGTTATAAAAACAAGAAAAGATAATTTTATATATAAATATAGGATATAAATTATTATTATTATAACTATGACTTATGAGAAAATCATTATAATTTTAAGTTATATACCTATATATAAAAGGTATGACGCTATGATTGTTGTTAAGTTTTATTTGAAAGTAATGGCCCCAGTCTGGGCATTTTCACATGAGCCCCTTGTTAACAAGTTACGCCACTGATTTTGTATTTTATATGATGTAGAATTTGAGATTCAACCTTAGATCATATATACGTGTATTATGTATACTATGATCTATAGCAGGGATGGGCAACTCAAAGTAACTAGTGGGCCACTTTTAAGTACTTACTTTAAAATCTAGTGGGCCGCAGTGCATAGGAGAAAGCAAAAAAAAAAAGGCCCTTCAAATTTACTAACATTTATATTTTTTATCTTTATTTATTTATATTTACAATTATTATTTAATGTGATACTTGAGTATGAGGTTTTATATGAAGTAATTTGAAAATGTAGCGCGGGCCAGATAAAAAAAGTACGCGGGCCGCCAGTTGCCCATCCCTGATCTATAGGGATTCAACTAGAGTCCGGTTGTAAATAACATAGGGATAACTATTATAAATTATGACTGACATTATTAATCATGAAAATTTAAGTCTTAATTATTGAGAACAAACTCCGTCTATGAAAAACATCCCGATAAAAAACACCCAATTAATTAAACTATGAATGAAAACTTGGTTCTATTTGTGCATACCGATGGCGATACCTGGCAAGTAAACTTAGCTCAATATAGGAATCAGTCACTGAATTATTATTTAAGATTTTTTTAATAGATAATATCCAATATTCTTAATCATGACCTATAACAAATTTTTTTAATGGTAAAAATACGAATTTATGTATGATATATGTATATAATAAACCTAACATTTAGTCCATTTAGATCGTATTAGGTAGGTAATTGAGATTTTAAATTTGTATCATGATATACCGTACTGTCCGTACTTCATGTTTCGCCATTATTCTTTCGTATAAAATGGTAATATAGTATTATAAAAGCATTAAACTATGTAAACTAAATAAATTATTTAAAATAATTATTCATCATTTACTTTAAATGGATGTGCATTCTGAAAATAAATTTTAAAGCAACTGTCACCATCACGGCAGCGCTCTCTATCAGCTAGATGAATCAACAGGTCCACGGTCTTTGAGTATAAGGTGTGACGKGCTCACGCCAGCGGTTGAGCGGTATCACATGGTATCACAGTTACCACACCGGCTTGGGCGAGTCCACGCCATAGAGTATTACTCTACAATGGTCCACGCCACCATGTAGCCAACCAACCGGCAATAAACCGSAGCTTGGTGGTCACACTGGGCCCGCAATTCGGACATAATAATTTTTACACCATACTCTGTAAAATGGGCAAAATGGCGTATGGCGCCCAGAGTCCAGACTCCYTGCCCGCACCCGCCCACCGAGTACCATAACACTCCCGTCTCCCGGCGGCCGGCGTTTCCATTCAGATTTCAGAGTCTAATTGCCGTATCATATAACAGACGTAACAGCAGCATTTGCCGACTGCCGAGTTGTGCTCGCAAGGCCCGGTGACTGACCAAAAATCACAACACTGAACACTCATTTTTCGAGAGTCATCACACCGCCAGTTGTCGACCCGCCGAGTCCGTCCGACGAATATATCGAAACTGAAACGGACTGCAATCGTCGCGTCGTCGTTTAGCTCTTCCAGGACATCCCTCGACAACTGATACATAACGGCAACAGGTCAATCGCAAAAGGTAAGTTCGCTAACCRAGGCGGTGGTCGACGATCTAGCCGTGTTCGTCAATCGTCGTTCAGACTTGCCGCTTCGATGATTTACAGACTAATCTCAAGACTTCCTGTCGACAACGGTGGTTAAAGCAGATTGCTATTTTGTTCCTTTAAACTCCCTGCAAAATTMTATTTTTATTTTTTTTGTGTTTGTTTTTGATTCCCTCAAAGTTTTTGTGGATTGTACATTCATACATTACCTAATTAGGTATCGATCAAACGTTAATATTTATTATAAGCATAGTGGCAGTGGGACAAGTAAGTAGTTTTAAGTGACGCTAAACTTGGAATTTTGTGTGAAGCGAATTTTAGAATTGTTTACCTACCCATCTACCCAAATTTTTCAGTCAACTAATATGATATAAAAATACATTCAGTTATGTTTAGAAAACTTGATTTAACTTAGTTAATCCACTAACCGCTCTTCCCTAAAACTCGCCTACATCCAATCATTTAAGAAGTGAAGTGATCAATTCACATGAAATATGAGCGCCACTGGTCCTTATTACCAATTATTACAAATAATAATAATATTAAAACATTTAGATATCAAACAAGTAATATTCGTTGTAGATTCAGTCTACATTCTACAATCTTGTTATTTTATCTGTATTTATTTTTTCTTATTGTAACAATATTGGCTTCCATATTTACAACATGTACTTTTTTCAATGTTTCATTCTCATTATGTACCTAATCCTAATACCTACACAATACGCATAAAAGTAAAATATAGATAAGAGAAAAGATAATATTATACTTTATGTGAAGATAAAATGAATTGAAACATTTTGATACCTATTATATTATAATTATGTTATTATATTATTRATATATATTACATAACATTATCATAAAGTCAAATGTTTATCAGTATTTTGTTATGTTAAGATTATTATATATTTAATCTAACAGCTACCAGTTTTTTTTTKTTTTTTTAAAGAAAATAATTCAATTTCAAAACTACTTTAAATACATAAGTAGGTATAAAATTATCTTCCACTGAAACTAAATCAACATTAAGTTAACTTTTATGAAATTGTTTAAAATAAAAAGCCAATAGGTAGGTACTTAAAACTTATAACTATGTTACAGTTCCATTCAGAGTTGTAGCCATATTAGGTATGCCTAGTTCTGAGTTTCGCATGGCTTTGTACACCCCGTTTAAAATCATTGCCTGACTWCCAACTGTTTYCATATCTCCTTCTCATTTTACAATTTTTCTTCATTTTCTACTTCATTCATTGTTAAATCTGGCGATATTATCTATCCATCATACCTAGAGTCTTATGTCTGATTTTTATCTTGTGGCTAAGCCAATGGGATCTTCATATATGACCAATCCAGTTCACCCGACTACTCCTGAAAAGTTTATTCTATACTTATATTTTTCTCTGTACAGTTCTTCTATTTCTCGATTTTTCCTAATCTTTTTAGTTTAAATATCCTTCATTCAAATTTTTAACTTACATTTACATAATAATTTAATAATATTAATTTATTTATTGACTTATGCAGTTGTGCTATCTCTAGTTATAACTTTTTTAATTTGATTATGTCATATGTTATAGATATTATTTAAAATATGTCATCGTCATCAAGATACAGGGATTCTGGMAATCCAGATTGCAAAATATATGTTGGTGATCTAGGATCATCCGCATCCAAACAAGATTTAGAAGATGCTTTTTCATATTACGGTTCAATTCGTAATGTTTGGGTTGCACGTAACCCTCCTGGTTTTGCTTTTGTTGAATTTGAAGATCCAAGAGATGCAGAAGATGCAGTTAGAGGTTTAGATGGAAGGTAATTAAACGAGTCTGCAATGAATTACCTCATTTTATGTCTTTGTTGTTCTTGCTATCATATGTAGCACATATATGTGTGCGTGTGTTTATGGAGGAGTAATGCTCTAGGAGTGCRGTGTACCATCCACGTCYGACATTYGGTTTATGCTCAAATGGTCGTAGAATCAAACACATCAAGCATCGGTGCAGTTGCACCTAACTATCGTGTGGTAGGCRCATATATTGAGCTCGAATCTCGTATGACAAAAATTATATTTTGCAATTTTTTTTTCGTTTTTTGATTTCAATTCTATGTGCCAAAGCAAAGACATAAAATGTCAAAAATTAACTGATAATTGTTATATCTATCAAATTTAGATGTTATCCCTTGTACCTACTTTTATTATTGTTATAATGATTAACTTATTTTAGGAGCATTTGTGGTAGACGAGTCAGAGTTGAATTGTCTAATGCTGGATCACGTAAAGGTGCTTATCGGGGAGGTCCGCCTCGACGAGGACGTCCATTTCATCCTGAAGACAAATGTTATGAATGCGGTGATAGAGGACATTATGCTCGTGACTGTAGACGTTTTAAGGGAGGACGACGCAGGTACATTTATTTTTTATTCAACTTATTCAAGATATGACTTCACCTATTTTATTTTTTGTGGTGAAGTCCAACTATTTATRAACATAAAGATAAATTATTTTATGTAGATAATTGTCACAACCATTTATTAAATAATGGAATTGTAAAAATGACTATAATTGGCCATTTTTGTAGGATGTTCGGCTGAGAGCGTCTCTTCTCGTAGTGTCGATCGTCGTAGAGCTCTCAACCAAAATAATATATTTTGATCTTCTACTACGAGCAATGTGTGTTAGTCGTCGGACTACGGCGCAACTATCTGTCTGTCTGCGTTTATCGATGTACTCAGCTACACTAGAACCCCATCGAGCCCAACCAACCTAATGATTTTTATTCTGATGCTCTAATTAGCTATCGGTGAACGTACACAGACATTCAGAGACAGAAAGAGTTATAAATTAGATCTACATAACGCCACTTGCTGTCTACATAGCATTACCACAATGTCATTTTAGGAGAATGTTGAACTTCGTTTTTTTATGTGAGTCAATTAAATCACAAGAGCAGGTTGGATTATATTGATCAATGGGATAAATATTATATTTAATTTGTTTAGTTAAATACTACATTCTTTAAATTCCTTAAATTAATAATAAACATAAAATAAAATACAGTACGTCTAATATTCATTTCATATAAAAACATTTAATATATTTACCATACATTATTGGATTTTTATTTTAAATTCTAAAAGAATACATGCTAAGTGTGCTTATTTATATAATTGAACATTAACAACTTATAAAAAAATATCCTATTATTAGTTAAAAAATGTAATTTCTTTTTAATGTTTTATTAAATATAAAATAATAAATATTTTAGAAATAACTAACTATTTACTTAAATTAAATGTTTGATAGTAGTGATATAAATGCAATATTTTAAATATTTAAAAAAATACTATAATCTCATGTATTGTATCTGTCTTACAAAAAAAAAACATTAAATTGGATTACTTTTAAAGTAAAATTTGATATTTTTCAGATTTATTGTATGACTAAGACAACACAAGTTGTTATGGCATCCTCTTAATACCTATTAGTTCAATAGATTAATTAAAATGTAGAATACCTATATATTTTCTTCTATAATCACATTTAAAAAAAATCAACTAATTGTATGTGTCCTTGGTAAATTAAATTMAAAATGAAAATGAGTTAAGTGGTAGTTCTCAAAAATTTATTATTAATTCTATCTAGTTCAGTTGCAAATGCACAATTTTTCATCATTGTAATCAAAATGAAACTCAATTAACTAATTAATAAATGTGCTTGAATAGGTTTATACTTTTATATGTTATCTTATGCATAATTACTATCAATAAATTATTAAAACAAATTTGTTAAAATAATATTTTTAAAAAACATCATTTGTCTGTGAGTAGTTTTTTTTTTTTGTTATTGTGTCCTATTTTAATATTCATAAACAAATAAATACCAAGATTCTTTTCATACATTTCATTACAATATACCATTGTGTATCAAAAAGTATGTATTATATTACCTWACAGTTAATAATTTATTTTTATTTCTTGTTGTAAATTAAATTTAAAATTATAACCATGATTTTAATGATGAAATATCAATTATATTGATATAATATGTTTTTTTTGGAACTGTAGAGCATAATTTTAATTTATTACTTGTTTGAAAGATTTAGGTGTTGCATTTGAATAGTACTTAAATCCATTTCCAAAATTTGAAGAAWAAAATGTATTGTGTATAAATCATAGTAAATAATTTTATACTGTACAACTAAAATATATTAAATCAAATTACCCAAAAAGAATTTTATTTTTACCTACTTTTCTGTTAATAATTGATATTTATATTAAATACGGCACACTAAAAAATTGATCAGATCACCAATTATGRATGGTTATTATGATATTCAATTGAACCATAATGCGAATATTATTATTTATCAACTGCATAAATTGTAATTTTTATAAGGCTAGCATTAATACATAAATATTTACTTTTGAACTTTTTTTTTTGTCAAACATTTTAGAAGATAATGTTTTTAATAATAACATTTAAATTATCAATAAAATAAAATTTTAACTATCAAATATTTTATTAAATGTTTGAAGACTGATTTTATCATACCAAAAATGCAGAACATAAGTTGTTTAATATATTTTTTTGAATATTTAAACTATTAATTAAATCATAAATATTTTTTCACTTTTCACTGGTTATAAAATGTTCTATTTCCTATATACTTAAACATCAAGTATATTAATACTTTGGGGAACTTAATAATGCCTTAATATAATTGCTTTGAATGTAGCTAATCATTTTGTATTATGTAAAAAGGTCATACACTCCTTCTCGGTCTCGTTCACGATCATACAGCCGTAGTCGTCGTTCTCGTTCAGGTTCAAGATCTCTTTCGCGGTCCCGTTCAAGGTCTGTATTAAGTGRTCGTTCAATTTCCAGATCAAGATCTCGCAGTCGATAAAAATATGTAAGTAAAACTTAGTTAATGGTTATTACTTGTAAATTAAGTTCAATGTCTCAAAAATTTTATTTCTAGAATCTAAAAAAAAATAAACATTACAGGCTGTAATTTTATATCAAAGCTGCATCTTGAACAACCGTTATGGACCTATGCATGGATCAAATACAGACGACTTAATTACTGAGACCTATCTACTATAATATTTTTGATTTAAGATTTTCAATATCTTATGAATTGTATTTTACTTTTTTTTTTAGTTAGATTTGTATACTAGTAAATATTAAATTTCTCGAAATATTGTTTGCAAATTATTATCATCATTATTTTATTCAATTAGTTGTATCATGCACCAAATGTATTGTACATATACTTTACATATTTTTGTATTTGAATAATATTTAATTAAATCAAAAAAAAAAAAAAAATAGATGAAACAATTCCTTTAAGACTAAAATAATGTTTGTTTAATCAATTTATGTATTTTAAAATAATCTTGAATTGCTTAATCTACTTATTTTTTTACGCATTTCTACATTAAGATWAATTTTTAAAACATTCTAAAATCCATTTGAACAAATATGTTATTGGTGGCAAACTTATTAGATGTTAGACGTAGAGGCTTAAAATACTTTTTACTCATAATTTCAATAAAATTGTGCAGTATAAAACAAATGATTAAATATTATTTTTACCTATTCCTAAAAACTGTTGTTATTGATAATTATTTGAGTGAATTTTCATTGATGCTTTACAATGTTCAACATTTATTTAGCAACATTTATTTAAGCTTACATTGACATGTTTATGTTTATACACATGATTCACCTGTATGATAAACTTTGACAAATGTACTTTATGTAAAAAACTAATTAGCACATAGACAATGCACCTGCATGTTTTTGAAGTATTACACTAAAAATTATGCAGCTAAACATCTAAACATGATATTTGTAGTAGGTATAATAATTATAATATTGTCCTTTGAATCCAAAATTTGGCTAAAATAAATTTTYAAAAAATGCATATGTATTATAGTTTATAAGTTWAAAAAAAATAATAGTAGCTTTCATAHAACAAAACTTAGATGACTAGAAGTTTTTCAATTTTCAAGCTTTACCTTATTGTTTCCATTGATGAGTATAGTGGATGATTGTCAGCACTTCTAAGACACATGATTCCATAACAGGGACATTATTAACACAATTTTAGTCAATTGTATATTTGTATTAAATTAATTATAATATGTGGGTACCTACTACTTAGAATATCCATAACTATTTTTCACATAAAAAAAAACATAAAGCATTGAAAGTATATTCTATGGTTTTTAGCTAGCAGTAATTATTTTGTTTGATAGAAAATAATAAGTCTATCGTATAATATGATTAATATATTATGTAAATTGGATAGTAATTAGATTATAACTTTTGTTTGGGTACCTATTTAGTATTAACTCAGTATAAACTGATACTAATAATACTATACATTTATTTATACATCGACATATTGTCATTATTACATACATGTAATATTAGTATGGTAATAGGTAGGTACTGATTTAAATTTAAAAATTGTCATCTTTAATTTTTTAGAAAAATTTTCTACTTGTAGAAAAATAAACTGTTTGAATCGTAACTTTTCTAGCTARTTTGTGCCAATTTTACGATATAGTACCCTATCTATGAATAGGAATACGAATTATAAAATCAAAAAGTAAAATAACATTGTTCATTGACTAAATTATTATTTTCGTATTGACAATTTGACTATTTAATATTTAAAAATGATAACTCGTGCGTGGCTGAGATTAATATAAGTAAAGTAATAACCAGTTTTGACCTACTGAGTGGTACACGGTACCTACACTCGAGGTGATACTAAAAGTATAGTTTTAGAACACTGCCGCTGTAGCCGTGAGAGCAGCCATGGCGGCGGCAAATTCGTAATTTACTTGTCAAAAATATGATTTTTTATTTCCAACAGGAGGTACTCAGGCCTCGTTGATTGCAGAAACATGGTGTCCGTATCAAAATAATCGCTAGAAGTTCTATTGAAATTCATGAAACAAATATTCGATACCTGAATTTCATACCTATAATTTATAAAAAATAAAATTGGTCGGAAAATATAAATCAAAAATCTTTTCTAAGAATTTTTAATACAACTTCTGTCTTCTAGTGATTATTTTGATACTAAAATCATTATGTTTATACGCTCAAYAAGGCCTGTGTACTGTTGGAAATAAAAAAAGCAGGCTTTTACGGTCGATTTTTTTGCTATACTGTGACAGTCTCTTACATAAATACTACCTAGGTTATACAGTAGCAGTATAGTACCACTTAATATTTAATAATATTGTAGTGTATCTACATCGATATTTTTAGAAAAGTGTTCTGATTCGGGAAATGAAATACAATTATTAGCTAATGTGTTCACCGACAAACAGTGGCTAACATAAAATTTTAAAACCTTATGCACTTTTTATTTTCCACAAAGAAAATCATATCTAACTATCCAAGAAATGAGAGTTTGACGCTATTTCTRATAATCTGCAACCTACCTAGGTACCTATAATAATTTGTTATACACCTTTACATCATATTATTCTGACGTTACCAAAATGTGTTGCAATAAAACATGAACATGRAGGTATAATAATTTCAGATTGTAATATACATGTAAACCTACAATATATTAAACACGTACATTTTTTTATTTTAACGTATTTGCAATGTTGACGTTCATCATRGTTTATCGTGAGGAGTGGGTACCGCGAATATTGCGACATCAAATCACTGTCAAGTCATGATGCGACCAATTGTTCATACAACTAGGTAACTATTACCGTCATCGAGTTTTAGTATGCTTTAAATAGTATACTTCTTATTACTAGTTTACTACTATGAACTGTATTATTTTTGATTTTTAAACACATCAGCACCAACAAACGAAAAAATGCGAATATGGGCCACGATTATAACAATAGTTATAATATATCTAACTCACGTAAGTAAAGACATTATTATTAGAGCACTTCACCCAGAAATTTTCCTCCGAGAAAATTTAAAACTTAATTATTATTATATAAAATAAGTAGTAATTTGTTTTGTGGTTTTCCCTTGTCTAAAAGTTTTATCAATAAGYATTTCCATCACGTGTGTTTACGTTAAGGCCATATAGTTGTGACAGTTGTATAGAGTTGATCTTTAGCAGACTTTGTATGAAATACACCCAAATGTTTTTGGGAATTTCAATTCTCGCTGGGTTTATTTAAATTTAAAATATATTAATATACAATAAATCGAAAATTAAATATTGTATGATAATCCTACATTAATCATATTCAATATCATATAGGTATATTAGGATAACTATAATGATTATTAGTATTTTGAGTCGTGGTTTTATGGGTTCGTAATCTATTTTGATGTCTTTATACGAACAACTGAACTGTTAGGTACCCTATATATTAATATTAATTAGTGGGTACCTAACTCATTAATACGACGATATTAGCTTTTATCTAGAAAATTATAAATTTTTAGTAAATACCTATAGGTATCTTCTTTTTTTTTTCAAATAATATTTTTATATTTTACAGATTTATGTTATATATATATATATATATATACATATATATGTATATTATTTTTCTGGACAGTATGATTTTAAAAATTAACTTATTAGGAATATTGAAAAAATATGAGTTAACGTTAATACAAATTAGTTAAATTATTACAACGTCGAACTAGTAATTAAGTTGAGTTGATAAGTTAAAAATAACTTGACTTTTAACTTATTAACTCGCTAATATCCAGCCTTGTAAGTTGCAAATGTCTATATAAATGGTTCCGGAATGTCAAGACAATAAAAATATTAATAGGCAGGAAATGAGCTGGCGGGAATGTCTTTGTTCCGCGCATGATACCTATATAAATCTATTGGCTATTTTATAAAATTATTTTGAGTAATGTGTACATGTTTTATTGTGCAGGTATTCACAGCCCCGGTAAATAATGTGGTGAGTACCTATCAATGTATATAACTGCATAAGCATAAGTTACCTATTATAATAGTTTAAAAATAAATCACCGACTTGGAAGTTACCTACATATATAAGTATGGTATAAGTAATATAACTAGGTATGTATTACCTTTGATCTTCTTGTAGCTGTAATTAATAAATCTATAAGTACAGAATTGGTACCATTTCTTACATTGTGAGTGATGAAGCATACATATTATATGTATATATATGTAGCATACAATATTATATACTTGAGTTTATTTAATTTTAGTTTTTAATCCATTCATAGGATTAGTAGCAGGTAGGTACCACCCAGGTATATAAATTTATTAAATGTAAAATATGTAATATATAGGTATACCTTAGTATCGTTCCATTTTTGATTATAAAACATACAACAGTTGAACTAGATTAAAGTATCAAAATAGACTGAAGCCCATAAGCGCAAAATATGAACCAAACGCAACCCAAAAGCGCAAAAATAAATATCCCATAAGCACAAAAAAATCACCTTTTTAACAACCCATAAGCGCAAATTAATTTTATAAAAAAAAGTGTATTTTATTAAAAGGTAGTTAAAAACATATAATTAAAATCATACAGTTATACTAATAATATACTATATGCTATTCGTGATTATAAAATGTGTATTTAAACATAAAAATTTATGAATAATTATAAAAATTGTATTTAATTTAATAGCAACAACTAATAGATGTTTTGCTTAAGATCAATAAAAAAAATAATTAAATAAGTACCTTAATATTAAATTTGAAATTTGAAGCCCMCAGTTTTTAAGTAATCCAATCTTGAAATATTTTTTATCGTAATTTGTTACGATAAAATTCTATAATACTAAATACTAAATTAAACTGAAGTAATACTACTATAATAATTTTAAAATGAAACCTAT